GGAGGCGGTCTCCAGCAGACCAGGGGCACCAGAGCAGCTTACGAACGGGGCTTTCTCGCCCCGGAGCTCGCAAGTAGCAATCCGCTACCTCGACCTCCGGGGCGAGAAAGCCCCGTTCGTAAGTGCGGATCCGACATAAGTCGGATCCGCGTAAGTCGGGGACTGCCTGTAGCTCTATTGTTATTACAGAGTGTAAAATGCAATCGACTAGTAATTTGACCTATTTTTCCTTAATATCTTACGAACGGGGCTTTCTCGCCCCGGAGCTCGCAAGTAGCAATCCGCTACCTCGACCTCCGGGGCGAGAAAGCCCCGTTCGTAAGTGCGGATCCGACATAAGTCGGATCCGCGTAAGTCGGGGACTGCCTGTAGCTCTATTGTTATTACAGAGTGTAAAATGCAATCGACTAGTAATTTGACCTATTTTTCCTTAATATCTTTAGGATACAGGATCTTGGAGTAGTAGTAGATTGCCTTCCTGTGCTTACCAGCAGGTAATAAAAGAAAAAAACCTTTCAGAAAGAGGGAGTTTCTATGGGTTTCAGATGAATTGATACCAATTCATATACTTTAACATTACTTTATTTTAGTTTACAGGAAGAAAAAACATATATTTCAGTTGGCTGCTGTGTGGATCTATTGCCTTTAGTAAAATTACTACTTAATAGCAAATATGAAGAGTAAGTACCAGAATGAATACTATGTAAAAGTTGTTAATTCTTTGTATCCAAATCTTTGAAATGGTTCAAAAGAGTCCGTTCTCCACCAGATTGCTGGCCATGAACTCACACCAATGCAAATTGAATAAAGTACCCTTCATGGGCTCTGATAGACTTTTTCTTCCCTACGCTTCCCACCAAGGGATTTCTGTATTGTTGTGGATCTTCCTGCTGTTCCCTTGATGTAGTCCTAAGTGGAGTGCAGGATGTGGTCCAAGAGGTGACTGTAGGTGGACCACTTGGAAATAGTGACCATAATACAAATAAATTTAACATCCCTCTGGTGGGAAAAGGACCACAGCTTCCCAACACTATGGCATTTAATTTCAGAAAGGGGAACTGCACAAAATTGAAAAGGTTAGTTAAAACCGAGATTAAAAGGTACAGTGCTGAAAGTAAAACCCTGCAAGCTGCATATAAACTTTTTGAAAACACCGTAACTCGACTTTTAATGTATATCCCAATCTAAAAACTCCGTAAGAGAACCAAAAAAGTACCACCATGGCTTAAAAACCAAGTAGAAGAAGAAGTGAGAGATAAAAGGCTTTGTTTAAATCCTAGAGAGAAAAATAAAAAAGAGCATAAACTCTGTCAAATCAAGTGTAAAAATATAATTAGGAAGACCAAAAAGGACATCAGATGCAGGAAGCCTGCTAAGCAACCAGTGGTACCACTGTAGTATCAAGATGCTAAAGGAGTACTCGAAGGCAATACAGTAATTGCGGAGAAACAAAATGATTTATTTGCATCAGTCTTCATAGCTGAGGATGTTAGGGAGATACCCAAACCTGAGCCTTTCTGTTTTGGTGACAATTCAGAGGAATTGTCCCAGATTGAAGTGTGATTAGAAAAGGCTTTGGAACAAATTGATAAACTAAACAGTAACAAGTCACCAGGACCAGATGGCATTCACCCAAGAGGTCTGAAAATTCAAATGTGAAATTTTGGAACTACCACCTGTGGTTTGTAAGCTGTCCTTTAAATCATTTTCTGTACCAAATGACTGGAAGATAGCTTAATATGATACCAATTTTCAGTAAGGGTTCTAGAGGCAATTACAGGCCAGTAAGTCTACCTTCAGTATGGGGCAATTTGGTTGAAGCTGTTGTAAAAGAACAGAATTATTAGACACATAGATGAACATAATTTTTTGGGGACAAGTCAACATGTTTTCTGTAAAGGGAAATTATGCCTCACTAATGTTCTAGAATTCTTTGGGTGGGTCAACAAACATGTGGACAAGGGAAACACAGAGGATATAGTGTACTTAGATTTCCAGAAAGCCTTTGACAAGGTCCCCCACCAAATGGCCCTCAGCAAAGTAAGCTGTTGTGGGATAAGAGGGAAGGTTCTCTCATGGATTAATACTGGTTGAAAGATATGAAAAGTTCACAGCAGACTGTGAAGAGCTTCAAAAAGATCTTACAAAACTAGGTGACTGGGCAAGAATGTTGATTAATGCAAAGTAATGTATATCAGAAATCTTAATCCTAAATATACATATAAAATGACAGGGACTTAATTAACTATTACCACTTGAGAGGAAATCTTGGATTTGTTGTGGATAGTTTTCTGAAAACATCAACTCAATGTGCAGTAGCAGTCCAAACCCCTTCCACAATGTTAGCAATCATTAAAAAGGGATGGAGATTAAGAGTATTTTATTGCCTGGTTGCCCACATCCTGAATACTGTGTGCAGATGTATTCCTCATCTCAAAAAAGATATATTGGCATTGGAAAAACTTCAGAAAAGCATAACAGAAATTCTTCGGGGTATGGAACAGCTGCCATATGACAGATTGAAAACACTAGGAGGAGACTGTGGGGGGGATATGATAAAGTTCTTTAAAATCATGACTGGTGTGAAGAAAGTGGACTAGGAAGTTATTTACTTATTCCCATAACACAAGAACTAGTGGTCACCAAATTAATAGGTGGCAGATTTAAAACAAAACGAAGGAAGTATTTCTTCACACAGTCAACGGTCTTCACATGGTCAGCTTTGCCAGAGGACGTTGTGAAGACCAGGACTTTAACAGAGTTCAAAAAAGAACTAGATAAATTCATGGAGGATAGGTCATAAGAATCCCATTTAATTGGTTAACCGGTTAAATATAGTGCTGACACTTGGTTTTAACGGTTTAACTGATGAAATGGGTGGAGGGGGTGGGGAGAAGGAGTTGGGGCTAGAATAGCTCCTGCTAAAGACTGGCTGCCCCTGGCCATGCCCCCCAGGGGCGCTGCTGCTCCCTCCCCCTGCAGGGGGTCCAGCAGGGATGGAGCAGTCCGCCTCCCGTTGCTGGGCCTTGGTGGGGGACTGCTCCCCCCAGGTGACATTCAACCATTAAGGGGTATAATTTAAGTTAAGCCTCTCTCCCTTAATGGACAATGCTTAACAGGTAACCAATTAAACTGTTACCTGGTAACACCCCAATAGGTCCATCAACGACCAGGATGGGTAGCAATGATGTCCCTGGCCTCTCTCTGTCAGAAGCTGGGAATGGGTGACGGGGAGGGATCACTCGATTACCTATTCTGTTCATTCCTTCTGGGGCATCTGGCATTGACCACTGTTGGAAGACAGGATACTGGGCTAGATGGACCTTTGGTCTTACCCAGTATGGCCATTCTTGTGTTCTTTTGTTCACTTCCCCCTGCTTCCATACACAAGTCTCAGCAGGGACTGCTCTTACGGGGTGAATCCCTATCCCTATTTCCTCCAGGCCCAGTCCCCCAATCGTGCAAAAAGTGCAATTTTTTGTTTGGTTTTAATTTTGGCAATGGTTCTCTAGAGCCATAGAGGAGGAGGCTTGCTTTGCTCTTGTTTCAAGGTTTATTCACAAGTACAAAAATCTTGTAGACCCAGTACCAAAGTCTTGAGTCTGTTATGAGACTCACTGGGGGAACATTCTGGTGCAGAACGTTTTGATATCCTTTGTGAGCTTGCTTCATCATTTCAAAATAGAAAATACACATAGAGCTGTTAAAATGTAAAATTATTTTTCTTTCATGATACAGGCTGGATCTCCCTGGTCCGGCTCCCTCAGGAATGTAACCAGTCCCGGACAAGGGATTTTTCTAGTCCAGGGAAGGTCGGAGGAGGGAGGGAAGCTTCTCTGATGGGCTCTTCTTCCCAGCTACCTGACACTGCTACCTCAGCCCCCTGGCTGCGGCTTCTCTGTGGACTCTGCAGTCCTGTGAACTTCAGTGAACCCACCAGCCCCAGGAGTTCCAATGGCAGCCCTGTGGGCACTCACAGCCCCACCAGCTGTGAGCTCTGCAGCCCCTCTTTTCCTCTCTTCCTCCCGCCCCCGCCTCTCCCTCCCCTCCCTGCCCTGCCCTGTGGACTCCAGCAGCCTTGCTGGCTGTGAGCTCTACTGTAACCTCCCCCCACCCTCCCACGGGCTCCAGCCCCCTGCTGGCATCCCAGCCATGCCAGCCAGCCCTGCTCCCTGCCACCAGCAACCCTTTGTGCTGGGGCTTTCTAGTCCAGCAACATCCATGGTCCTATTGAAACACGGATTTTGCCAGTCTAGAGAGACCTGGACAACAGGTTCAGCCTGGATTGTGGTTGTGTTGTGCCACCTTCGGAGCTTTATCCTTTACTCTCAAGTAATCTCCTTTCATTTGGTGGATATGCATCAATCTGCACCGAAGAGGTGTAGGTGCATACTATCTAAATATGTCGTTACAGATACGTGATAGTTGGTCTAAACTGGCTCTTAGCTGTCATTAAGAGATGGTGGTCAGAACTGTCTGCACACATGGAAAAAGTAAAAGATGGGTAAGTATAATATTGTGCATTGTCACTCATTATTGTAGTTGTGTAGTTATTCAGAAACTGCCTTACATTGTTTTTTCTTTCATGATCACAAGGGCTCAAATACCAGTTCTCCAAAAATAAAAAAATGCTTCAGGCAATATATGGTAACCTGAACATGTGAACTTCACTTCTTTGATGGTTTCTATATGTATTGCATATGTTGATATGCATTTACACCATGCACCTGTATTTGGAAGTTTTTTCTCCAAGCAGTATCCTGCATGTTATTTGAAAAATGGTTACATCTCCTCATACTCCTGAGGGGCAATGCAAGTCAACTACACTGTGCATGGTCTAATTTGAAAGCCATGTTCCTCCTTCACTCTTATCCAGATAGAGATGCCTCTCTCTTTTGTAAATAAATAGTTTTATACTTGGGATCATTCATATAGTTGTTATTGTGGCTTAACATAACCTATCCCCAGTTGGGACCCTTGTCAGATCCTTGTCACCCAGAAACTATACATCAGATTCCAGTCTTCAAGAACTGCATCTCCTGCCCTTGTTCCTTTTCCATCCAAATATTAACAGTGCCTATACAGGCAGTCCCCGACTTACGCGGATCCTACTTATGTCGGATGTGTTCTGCCCACAACTCAAGAAGCCTCTGATCTCCAGCTCAGCAAGTTACTGATGGAAGAGGCAAGCCCCAGATGCACTCGGATCCTGGCCAGGGAGATCCTCCATAACTCAGCGGTGCCCTGCCAAACACAACCCATGGTAGAGCACCACCAACGCTGATGAGTAAGCACAAGTCCCACTACAAGAGCAAGAAACACTCCTGGGTATAACATCAGATCCCTGTAGATTAGAGATACATGTATACATTCCTTCCCTGTGCTGTGCCAGCCAATGCCAAAGACAACACACATGCACCTGGTCAGAGGGTAAGGCTAAGAAAAAGTAGGATCTCTTGTTCCTGCTGGGGTCCTGGTATTGAGGCTTTGTAGCATGCCCATCTATGAGTGAAGCTCCAGATACTTGCATCGGTGCTATTTTGCCATCACACACAGAGAACAGGCTTGTGGAACTGGGTCCCTCCGGAGTCTCTATGGTCATTCTTCAGAGTCAGAGATGTTCTTATCTCCAGAGGTGGTGCTCATGCTGTACCTGCAGACTCCCTGCCCCCCCAACTCAGATCCATCTATTCTCCAGTAGGTCCCCCACCAGATGATGAAGTGCTATTTCTGCTGCAGGAAAGGCCCCTTCCACATTCATTGGACAGGGGCTTTTCAGTATAAATGATCCTGCCATTTCCAATGGAACAATCATCTGACTTGGAGGAATTCCAGAATGTAGCCCAGTCAGTTTCACCTTTGTCGCAGAGGGAGCCTGAACAGACAGCTGAAGCACCCCTACCTGCTTTGCTAGGATTTCTGAGGGAAGCCTGGTAGTGCTTCCTCTTCGGCCGTCCCAAACCGATGGAAGAGCTCATTCTAGCCCTCCTGGGATCTGTAATACAGTCTCCTAGTACCATTGCAAGGTTTTTAAAATTCCTCCCCCCACACATCAGCCAACTCTCCATTTTTATGAGGAGAAAAATGTTGAACTGATATCAGTGGTTCCAAGGGATGCCTAGCTGACGCAGTTGTCCTTCTGCCATTGTCTCCTCAAGATGATGATCATCAGTAGCCCCAGCACCTGCAAGGGGTGGCTACTAACTTTTGGATTCTGCTGGTGGAAGTCCAGCACGTTCGTCGTCATCATCATCTCATAGACATGCTCTAGTCAAAGGAACACTCCAGAGTAGCCCTCCCTATTAATGAGTCCATAGTTGAAATGGCCCAGATAGCATGACACTTTCTAGCTTCATGTGCCTTCACCTCAAAAAGAGACAGAAGATGCTACAAGTGCTGACTTCCTCTGCTCACACCTGACCTCTAAGTCACTATTTCATGTACTTGCAGAATGAGCTCCTCAGCATCTCCATAAGTCTGCTCCACTGGACAAAGAAAGGGTTCAAAAGATTAGTCCTCCTGAGCAGATAGGCCTTTCCATAAACTGACCTACAATTCCTCATTGTGAACTACAGGTTGTACCTCGCTAAACCAGGACTTCTGGCCCAGCAACATCTGTGGTCCTATAAGTGGTCTTCCTTTGAAAAAGGAGACTCCTTGCTGGCCTCTGGCTCCACACGGCATTTCAATCTTTGCAATGCATGTGCACCTGGAAGCACCTAGCACCTTCCTCTCCCTCCTCTGTCTGTGGACATGTACTCCATCTTTATGCAATGTATGATGGTACAACTCACAAAAGGCCTGCTCAAAATCTTTCCACTGAAGTGTGTATTTGGCAATCTTAACTTCATCCTTTTAGCCTTCATGAGACCATCTTCGGCAACCTATGCCATGAGACCACCTTTCCTTCTGGTTTAAACCAGAAAGGATCAGTGAAGTAGCAGCCATGAAGGTATACCCTCATTGACTGGTCTTCCTCAAAGAAAATTTCATTGAGACTACACTCCAAGGTTGTCAGAATTCCATCTCAACCAGTTTATCTACTTATCTGTGTTCTGCCCAAAACCACACATTTCTCCACAGACAAGAGATTACACTCCCTCAGTGTTGAGTGGTCCTTGATGTTCTACCTACAAACAACTAAATCCTTTTGAAAGCCACCAAGTGGTTCTGTGGCCATGGCAGCAAGATCAAGGGGCCAAGTCCTAACTTTGCAGATGATCTAAGTGGGTCTCAGACCTCATAGTGGTACACTATGAAATATCAGCTCCCTCCCACTCTCTGGGGGGTGTTGGCTCGTGCTGTGTGAGCACACACCATTTCTTTCTTTGTTAGCTGTTCTGTAGCAAGATATCTGAAAAGCCACAATATGGTGTTCTGTACTAGGGATGTTAAATATTGGTTAATTGAATAGTAAGTAGATTATTCAGTTCTTGAATCGATTATTCAACTCATGAATACTTATCAGTTGCTCAACTATTCTGTAGTCCCCAGGGATGGGGCCAGCAGCCAGTGCACTCCAGCCCCGCTCCTGAGGAGCCTCTCCTACTCTGCACTTCTGAATCTGGATCTGAGGCAGCAGCGTTGGGGTGCTAGGCAGGAGCTGGTTCCCAATGGGAGCCAGTTTAAAAACCGGCTGCCTGTCACCCTGTGCTGCTACCTCTGATACAAAGGCAGCAGCGCAGGGTGGCAGCAGCCCCTGTTTTGTTTTTTTGTTTTGTTTTTTTTAGGGGGGGGGAGCGCGGGACCAGAACTGAACCAAGCTGCCTACCTGGCTCCTAATGCACTTTAAATGCAGAGCTGCAACAAGGGTAGGTCCCAGACTCCGTGCAAGCAGGTACTGAGCCAGGCTAAAAAATTTACTGGCAAGGGGGAGGGAGGAAATGCGTGTAGTCTATAGCATTAACAGATGAGCAAAAGCTTATCAGTTAATCGACTACACTTATTACATCACTATTCTGTACACACATTTACAACATACTATGCCCTGGATGATGTGGCAGCCCCAGAAACAGCCATGAGATGAG